TCGAGCGAAGGGGCAGGAAAACAATTAGTAGGGTTCTCGGGACAAGGGAGAGTAGGTAGCGTAATGGAGACGGCGTATCGCACGGCCATCTTAGCATTAACGGCCTATGTGGTATTATCCCTGAAAAAGGACAATCCCTCTCTCGATTTGTACCTCGCCAGATCGGAGAAACGGAGAAAGATCTGGAGAACGCAAGAAGTGCTCGACTACTACGATCGGAGTTAATGGCGCCTTCGCAGCAGATAAATCCGGCGATTGTCGGACACGTCTCCTTCGTCGGCGCCTTCGTGTGGACCATGGATTTCAAATTCTTGAATAAATTCACGCTGGGACTTTTGGGCTCGGATACACTGCGTCGCGTCAAAATATTCTGAGAATTTCCGAAATAAAAACCCCCGTTTCGCGACACAAAGAAGAACTCTTCCCTTCCGCCACGGGAGCGACCGAATAATTAATCACACTTCGCGCCATTCTTCACGAAGCGCGACTAAGAAGGATCGTAAGAAACGGCGTTGGACGTTCGCGCGCCCCGTACATTCATTCCGATCCGAAGAAGAAGACTCTCGAATTTACGCTGTCTCATCAATCTCCGTCTCGCCGGCGCGCAATAGCGCGACGCGGCGTAAAATCGCCGATCGGATGCGATCCGGCGCGAACCGATGCGATGCGAGACGCGCGACACTGCACTTCCTCCCCTCTCACTCCCTCTCTGTCTTTACGGTCTGGAACGAGCTACCTGATATGGGGAAGGAAAAGCGGCGGCTCTCTTCCCACGAGTGCTAGACGACGGTACTTGATTGGCAAACAATTAGCGGCCAGGACGTCGAGAGGAAAGAGAGATGACTACGACGACAACGAAGAGAACCGAACGCGAAATAGGTATGTATCACGCGAGCATCTTTGACCGGCGTCACGCATCCCCCTTACAACCTCCCCTCCTTGTCGTTCTAGCTGTCTCGCTCGCTTCACCAGTATCTTTACAATGAGAACAATACCGTAGTTCTTCCGCCGGAGTGAACAGACAAAGGGTATTCCTGAGACAAAACCGTCGTCACCATCGCCACCGTCGTCACCGTCTCGTCACCGTCGTCATCGTGAATCTCCGGAGAATCCCGGGAGCGCACTAAAACGCTTCAGATGGAGCGTATATCATAAGCACAGCTCCTCCTCAATCTGCACCATTCTCGTTAATTAACCTTAATACCTATGTAGGTGCGTCTTTATGTCTATAAATATATATAATATCATGTGTGCGAAGGAACAGAACGGGAAGAAGTAAAAAGACGAACGAAAATTTATTATTCCGGAGCGAGTTCCGGGCAAGACAGAAACACGGGATAACAAAAATTATAAATAACTCGTGACAAAGTGAATAATAAAAAGAAAACAGAAAGGAGAGAAAAAGAATAGATTGAGACTATGCGCGTAAATATAATTTCCACACTGGTCTCGTCGCTGTTTAGTGGCGGTAAGTGGCATAATAAAGTGGCGAGAGAGAGAGAGAGAGAGAGAGAACGAATGGCACAACTTCGACTATGTATAGCCGCGTATACTATATTGTTTTGTGCTAAACGCGCGCCGCGCGGTCGAGAGCCGCGTGTTTTAATATAAAGGTTTTGGATTTCACATGTATACGTCCGCCGAGACCCCCCACCCCCCCTCCTCTCACCCTTTGCGGAATCTCTCGATTCTCCCGTTCTTCGCGTCCATTCCTCGTCTCCTTCCGCTTTCCTCCCCCTTCCGATCTCTTCTCCTCTTCGCCCTTTACTACTTCTGCCGAGAGCTTCGCTTCGATACACCCGCTATTTTCGGGAATCTCGTCGGATCGCGTTCTTTTTAATTGACGTGCGACGCGTTTCGTTACGCGCAAACGTACGAACGCGCGTATTTTTTTATTTCTTCTCTGCGAACCGTCCGTCCGCACGCCCTTTCGACAGTCGAACGGCTTTTTCTACAGTGCGTTTCGACCGTACGCGCGAATTCCAGCGACATCGTTCCTTTGTCACGACCACCGTCGGCGGGGTGTAACGCGGAGCTCGAGTATCCGAATCGATGTCGCGAGTCGGATGTACAAGAGATAGAGGGAGTACATTCGGTGGCGTTCCCATTGTACGAAAGCTACGCGTATGATCGTTGATTAAATTCCGTCATTCACGGCGATTCTGTTAAATACGATCGCGATCAATTATTCCTCGAGCGCTATCGGGGACCGGTGCCGGTAATCTAATTGCTATTTCTCGCGCGGCTTCTTATCGCGAAATTCACGATTTCGAAAACCGATTGCCCGTAAATCCTCCAACGCGAAAGGCGTTGTCCGCGCTCTTCCAATTCTTTGTATTCTACAAAGTGCGGCAACGAGGTGTACGCGAACCGTTTAGCAAGTCGTTTTCACGCCGGTTCGCAATCGGTCCGAGCATCGCAGTCGCGCGAGAAACGCTCCAACTGCGTTTAGAGCTACTTAACAGTCCCGCGAACGATCGATTCCGTTGCCGACATCCCGCGCGACAATGCGCGCGCGCGCACGCAATCGAGATGGACAGAGAAAGAGTGAATGCGCGTGTGTGTCCTGGCATTCCTGCGAAATGCGCTTAAACCGCCGCGACGAATCGTTAACGGGCTTTTAATCGCCGTGCGTTACCAAGGTGGCACCTCCGCACAACGAACGACCGAACGAACTCGGAATAGTTATCGCGCGCTTTTCTCGCCGAGGAGGTCAAACGAGATTGGCAATATTCGCTGGCGAGCACTACTGAGCACCTTGACATGCACGACGCATAGCGCCGAAGTTAAAAGAAGTTTCCCGAACAAACGCCATTCTCTCGCGTGCTGTTAAACATCGAATTCCTGAATACAATGCTGCACAATAATATTATCAATTGTTCTCGTATCAATTTAAATGAATTAAACTATTTATCATAATAGATCGCAATATCTTAATAAATATACTAAGATTGGTTTATAAATTATTACGCGCTGCGTGACCATAAAAGTAAATGAATAGATAAATAATTGCGAGCCGCGCGCAATGCATTAATATCTACTTAGCGCAGCTAACGATTCGGAAGTGCTGTTTGCCGTGAGATTTCGAGCGAGACTCGCTTCGCGCCCCGTTCCCGCGTCGGAACGGAGGTAAGCGTACGAGAGAGAGTTCGCCGAGACACGCTCGTTGTCGGAAATAACGACATAATGACATGGTAGAGGATGAGTGCCCGAGGTAGGTAAATTCAAGACGAGGAACGGAGCGAGCGAGCGAGCGAGAGGGCGAGAGAGAGAGAGAGAATCGAGAGACGAGGATCGGGAGAGGGAGAGAAAACCAGACCGGGATGTATCCAGCGAGTGAAGAAAAGAAGAAGGGAGGGGGAGAGGTGGATCATCGGCGTGTCTCGGCAGCATCCCTGACCATCACCGGTGGTTCATCAACTCCGAGGAGTTGAAGAGGCCTTAATAGGCTCCGCCGCTAGAGTCTGGACCACGTCACGCACCCTTTTACCTCACGTCTCGACCTGATTTCGCGCGCGATTCTCGCCGCCGGACTGTCAGCCGCGATTCGACCGGATTTATTAATCAGAGTACTACGCCCCGAATTTGCATAACGAAATAAAAGACGCGGCTGTGCATACGTGGTGAAATCCGGGGATTGAAAGCACGAGCTGCGCGCGAACATTCGCTCCGCGAATGAGCGACAATAGGCGCGAGAGGCGACAATGTTGCAATGGTTTTGTGCAGAAACTTTGAAAATTGAAAATTCAATTGAATGAAATCAGCATCGATATCATTTCTTGAGGGTATACATTCCGCGAACGTGAGATTACTCACAGTCGGCGCGTCATTATCACCAAGGAGGCGCAATTATCTTCACTCCCAGTAGACATTAGTCACGCTGAAAGAGAGGGCGTAAATATCCTCTGTGAACGCGGCGATTGCGATATTCCGTCGTTTCTCTAATTACTGACCTTCGATGGACGCGTGCACCGCGCGCGCAATCGCAATAACTTTAATAGCGCTTTATCACGTTAACGGCCGGTATAAATCGCCGGCGGATATATATTGATACAACGCGAAATTCCACGGTAAATGAAACAACGGCGAAATTGAGTGGTCAACGCGCCGACGCATATTACCGCGATAATTCCCAATAATTTATCATCGCGCCGCGTTACCGTCGCGCGTCCCGCACCGTGTAATCGCCGCCGCCGCCGACGCCGCATTTCGATCGTCATGAAGAATTAAACATCGTCGCGCGCGATGGTTTGCGTCGCGGAGTTTATCGGCCGTAAAGAATCGGCCCGGGTCCGCTCTCTCTCTCTCCTCTCTTAATGGGTTCACGCGCCGTGGAATCGCGCACAAAGCGCGACGGGAACCCGCGAGAGATCGCAAACCGCGGCCGCGCGCGGCCACGCTCTCTTTAACACCGAATCGGCCCAATTTCGCCCACTATTTAGCGACGCCATGCCTCGCCGCAGCCGAATTAGCCGAATCCGCGGAAGCACGCTCGCGCGAATCGATATCCCGCGCTTCATCCAGCTCTTTCGTGCGAGTTATGTCTCTTTAAAATATATAACATTACAGTACAAGAATAATAGCGGTTTTCCCCATTTTTATCCTTTACAAATTGTTTCGCAAATTCCTCGAAGTGACTATCGAGTAAACAACCGATTCGTCCTCCGACGCCCTCGCGGTTAATCGTTAAATCGCGAAGAGCGAGAGAACAGGGTGCGCGCGTGCGAGCGTGGCTGTGAATATAAATCGTGAATCCAATTTGCGGACGCCATAAATCAATAGCGTGATCACGATCCGGCGAGGAAGACGCGGAACAATCCGACCAAGTCAGAACGGGACGCCCGGACAAAAGACGCGCGGTACGAGCGCGTCGCTGTCGCTGAGAACAAAAGAGGCGGACTGCCGCCGCCACCGCCGCGCCGAGGCGAGCTGGTGGCAAGTCCGAGGCATGCCAAATTTGACGGAAATAAAACTACAAGAAGCATAACCGGACTACTCACCATAGAAACGGGGATGGGTCCTCCGGCTCCGTTGGGGTACGGGTATGGCGAGACGAGGTAACCCATGTTGAAGGAGGAGGTGTGCGGCGTCGGATCCACCTTTCCTGTTTCGAAAACAAACGAGAGCACGATTATTATTAATATAATCGCCGATTCCAGCGCTGTGCGCGCCGAGAATCGATCACATATAATGGTCGGTTTTTATTTCATTATTTTCCTCGTCGCTTTTTATCAAATCTCATTCGATAAAATGTTCTGATATAAATATTTATCCTCTTTTGTTTATTTATTATTTATTTCTCTTTTCATTATCTTCTTTATTTACTATTTAGTGAAAAAAAAAAAAAAAAAACTATATGTGATCGGAAGAATTTGTGGTACGTTATGCGACATTATTGCACATGTGCACTAGTTAAGCTGGCTTGTGCAGATCGCAGATTACCGCACGTTAGTCAGACGTTAAACGGACCACAGACGGAGAAACATTCTTGTAAATGGCGGCCTGCACGCGAACACAACCGAATGTTGTAGAAAGTAAAAAGAAGTTCCGAAAGAAGGACCGACTTCTGGCACGACAATTTGCGGTTCGTGCAACACCAACCGACCTTAATTATACGTTTCCCATACAAATCGCTTTCATTTTTCTTTTTCATAACAGTTTTGCCGAAAAGTGCAAGATTGCGCGGGTACTTATCTTATCTAGTTTTACCTCGATCCAATTCACACCTGCTCAGTTTTCTCGCGAGAGATGCCTATCGAAATTTTATGTAAAAATATTCGCGACCGCAATTAAAAATATCTTTTTTTTAATGCAATGCGAAACGTTAAGCATAATCATCTACCGCGCGCGTTTCGGCTTATCGATTATAAATTGGATATATACGTTGCAAACGTGGTGCTCGCAATTTCGCGTGATGTCGCATTTTAATCGAGTTAATAACGCCCGCTTGATTCGCATGCCAGATACTGTGTTTTTTCATCCTAAACGTCCGTATAAATATTACAGCTACATTAAAACCAGTCTCCATTTAATGGGATTCAGCGTCGTTCGCGCAGAGAAGACCGATCCTGGCGTGAGCATGCGAAAACCTGCTCCGAAGATTCAGAGGCGATACCAATCGTCTATCGCCGCGGCTAATCCTCGACGCGCGAGATGGACGCTGCAGTCGGAGAAACCTCTCGAGTTTATCCTTCCGCGAAACTGGATCGTCCTCTTGGGTTGGAGCGAAAGAAATCTGAACGAAGAATTCGCACCGCGATGCCAATCGTCCTGAGACTGCGCGGATCATCTCCCATAATCAAAACGAATTCCGCCCTTGCGGAATCGGTCGAGTTCGCTTGTCCGTTCCGTGAAACTCAATCGTTTCGAGCGAGACGGTTGGAAACTTGCTCGAGTCGATAGCAATCGTCCGTCGATCTGGCCAGCCAGTCCGAGTTGGCGGCGTCGCGATTCCCGCCGCGTAGATTTTATCGTTTAGAAATGGGCGACTTGAACTAGTCGATGATACTATCGTCTCGTTCGCTTATGAGGAAAAATAACGTCCGAATACTCGCAAACTTTATAAATATAATGAGGACCGCGTACTCCTCGATAAAATCTGCAGATAACGCGAAGCTGAAATTATACCGCAATAATTCCAAAGAGCGTGAGTTCGCGAGAGATAAGAGATTATCTCTCTTGCGCGACACTCGACCCCTGTACAAACGACCAAACAAACGACCGTGGAAATTGATACTTCATTTAATTGATACTTCATCATGAGCCCACACTCTATGAAAACCAGTGTACATTGTACACTAAGAAACATTCTAGTATCAAAGCTAGCTATCAAGTATTTCTCTAGGGTCAATAAAAGACATAAATTATCACTATTTTAAGCGAATGATCAATGAATGGCGCGAGTTCAATTAATACTTCGGCAACGAGTGGCGTCTTCTTGTTCACTGCCATCCCGGCCGCTTCAGCGACGATCATGAAAGAGTTAATTCTTCGTGCCCGGAACGTATGCGATCCCGATCGTCGCGCGACGCAGGACCGTTGACCTTTCTTCTCGGCACGAGACGCACGCATGAGAGAGAGAGAGAGAGAGAGAGAGAGAGAGAGAGAGAGAGAGACAGAGAGAGAGAAAGAGTACTCTCGTTCGTCCGAAGTTATTAAGACGCGAACGGCGTTGCTTCTGCCACGTTGCAACGCTTCGGTGCGATTCACACGAACGCGCGCACGCGGACGATTAAATTGTCAGCTACGCGACTCTATAAATAACGCAACGCAGCGCCGCATACCACCGTGTCGAGTCCCGCGATCCTCGTTTTATCAACGCCCGCGAGTTCGTCGATGAAAAGCTCTCGCGAAAGCTGGTTTTATCGAGGTTCCCGCGACGAAATGCTCGGTGGATTTTACGCGAAATTACCGAGAGAAATAGCGAAGAGGGGAGAGAGAGAGAGAGAGAGAGAGAGAGAGAGAGAGAGAGAGAGAGAGAGAGAGAGGAGAGACGACGACGACGACGACGACGA